AAGAAGAAGAAGAAGAAGAAGAAGAAGAAGAAGAAGAAGAAGAAGAAGAAGAAGAAGAAGAAGAAGAAGAAGAAGAAGAAGAAGAAGAAGAAGAAGAAGAAGAAGAAGAAGAAGAAGAAGAAGAAGAAGAAGAAGAAGAAGAAGAAGAAGAAGAAGAAGAAGAAGAAGAAGAAGAAGAAGAAGAAGAAGAAGAAGAAGAAGAAGAAGAAGAAGAAGAAGAAGAAGAAGAAGAAGAAGAAGAAGAAGAAGAAGAAGAAGAAGAAGAAGAAGAAGAAGAAGAAGAAGAAGAAGAAGAAGAAGAAGAAGAAGAAGAAGAAGAAGAAGAAGAAGAAGAAGAAGAAGAAGAAGAAGAAGAAGAAGAAGAAGAAGAAGAAGAAGAAGAAGAAGAAGAAGAAGAAGAAGAAGAAGAAGAAGAAGAAGAAGAAGAAGAAGAAGAAGAAGAAGAAGAAGAAGAAGAAGAAGAAGAAGAAGAAGAAGAAGAAGAAGAAGAAGAAGAAGAAGAAGAAGAAGAAGAAGAAGAAGAAGAAGAAGAAGAAGAAGAAGAAGAAGAAGAAGAAGAAGAAGAAGAAGAAGAAGAAGAAGAAGAAGAAGAAGAAGAAGAAGAAGAAGAAGAAGAAGAAGAAGAAGAAGAAGAAGAAGAAGAAGAAGAAGAAGAAGAAGAAGAAGAAGAAGAAGAAGAAGAAGAAGAAGAAGAAGAAGAAGAAGAAGAAGAAGAAGAAGAAGAAGAAGAAGAAGAAGAAGAAGAAGAAGAAGAAGAAGAAGAAGAAGAAGAAGAAGAAGAAGAAGAAGAAGAAGAAGAAGAAGAAGAAGAAGAAGAAGAAGAAGAAGAAGAAGAAGAAGAAGAAGAAGAAGAAGAAGAAGAAGAAGAAGAAGAAGAAGAAGAAGAAGAAGAAGAAGAAGAAGAAGAAGAAGAAGAAGAAGAAGAAGAAGAAGAAGAAGAAGAAGAAGAAGAAGAAGAAGAAGAAGAAGAAGAAGAAGAAGAAGAAGAAGAAGAAGAAGAAGAAGAAGAAGAAGAAGAAGAAGAAGAAGAAGAAGAAGAAGAAGAAGAAGAAGAAGAAGAAGAAGAAGAAGAAGAAGAAGAAGAAGAAGAAGAAGAAGAAGAAGAAGAAGAAGAAGAAGAAGAAGAAGAAGAAGAAGAAGAAGAAGAAGAAGAAGAAGAAGAAGAAGAAGAAGAAGAAGAAGAAGAAGAAGAAGAAGAAGAAGAAGAAGAAGAAGAAGAAGAAGAAGAAGAAGAAGAAGAAGAAGAAGAAGAAGAAGAAGAAGAAGAAGAAGAAGAAGAAGAAGAAGAAGAAGAAGAAGAAGAAGAAGAAGAAGAAGAAGAAGAAGAAGAAGAAGAAGAAGAAGAAGAAGAAGAAGAAGAAGAAGAAGAAGAAGAAGAAGAAGAAGAAGAAGAAGAAGAAGAAGAAGAAGAAGAAGAAGAAGAAGAAGAAGAAGAAGAAGAAGAAGAAGAAGAAGAAGAAGAAGAAGAAGAAGAAGAAGAAGAAGAAGAAGAAGAAGAAGAAGAAGAAGAAGAAGAAGAAGAAGAAGAAGAAGAAGAAGAAGAAGAAGAAGAAGAAGAAGAAGAAGAAGAAGAAGAAGAAGAAGAAGAAGAAGAAGAAGAAGAAGAAGAAGAAGAAGAAGAAGAAGAAGAAGAAGAAGAAGAAGAAGAAGAAGAAGAAGAAGAAGAAGAAGAAGAAGAAGAAGAAGAAGAAGAAGAAGAAGAAGAAGAAGAAGAAGAAGAAGAAGAAGAAGAAGAAGAAGAAGAAGAAGAAGAAGAAGAAGAAGAAGAAGAAGAAGAAGAAGAAGAAGAAGAAGAAGAAGAAGAAGAAGAAGAAGAAGAAGAAGAAGAAGAAGAAGAAGAAGAAGAAGAAGAAGAAGAAGAAGAAGAAGAAGAAGAAGAAGAAGAAGAAGAAGAAGAAGAAGAAGAAGAAGAAGAAGAAGAAGAAGAAGAAGAAGAAGAAGAAGAAGAAGAAGAAGAAGAAGAAGAAGAAGAAGAAGAAGAAGAAGAAGAAGAAGAAGAAGAAGAAGAAGAAGAAGAAGAAGAAGAAGAAGAAGAAGAAGAAGAAGAAGAAGAAGAAGAAGAAGAAGAAGAAGAAGAAGAAGAAGAAGAAGAAGAAGAAGAAGAAGAAGAAGAAGAAGAAGAAGAAGAAGAAGAAGAAGAAGAAGAAGAAGAAGAAGAAGAAGAAGAAGAAGAAGAAGAAGAAGAAGAAGAAGAAGAAGAAGAAGAAGAAGAAGAAGAAGAAGAAGAAGAAGAAGAAGAAGAAGAAGAAGAAGAAGAAGAAGAAGAAGAAGAAGAAGAAGAAGAAGAAGAAGAAGAAGAAGAAGAAGAAGAAGAAGAAGAAGAAGAAGAAGAAGAAGAAGAAGAAGAAGAAGAAGAAGAAGAAGAAGAAGAAGAAGAAGAAGAAGAAGAAGAAGAAGAAGAAGAAGAAGAAGAAGAAGAAGAAGAAGAAGAAGAAGAAGAAGAAGAAGAAGAAGAAGAAGAAGAAGAAGAAGAAGAAGAAGAAGAAGAAGAAGAAGAAGAAGAAGAAGAAGAAGAAGAAGAAGAAGAAGAAGAAGAAGAAGAAGAAGAAGAAGAAGAAGAAGAAGAAGAAGAAGAAGAAGAAGAAGAAGAAGAAGAAGAAGAAGAAGAAGAAGAAGAAGAAGAAGAAGAAGAAGAAGAAGAAGAAGAAGAAGAAGAAGAAGAAGAAGAAGAAGAAGAAGAAGAAGAAGAAGAAGAAGAAGAAGAAGAAGAAGAAGAAGAAGAAGAAGAAGAAGAAGAAGAAGAAGAAGAAGAAGAAGAAGAAGAAGAAGAAGAAGAAGAAGAAGAAGAAGAAGAAGAAGAAGAAGAAGAAGAAGAAGAAGAAGAAGAAGAAGAAGAAGAAGAAGAAGAAGAAGAAGAAGAAGAAGAAGAAGAAGAAGAAGAAGAAGAAGAAGAAGAAGAAGAAGAAGAAGAAGAAGAAGAAGAAGAAGAAGAAGAAGAAGAAGAAGAAGAAGAAGAAGAAGAAGAAGAAGAAGAAGAAGAAGAAGAAGAAGAAGAAGAAGAAGAAGAAGAAGAAGAAGAAGAAGAAGAAGAAGAAGAAGAAGAAGAAGAAGAAGAAGAAGAAGAAGAAGAAGAAGAAGAAGAAGAAGAAGAAGAAGAAGAAGAAGAAGAAGAAGAAGAAGAAGAAGAAGAAGAAGAAGAAGAAGAAGAAGAAGAAGAAGAAGAAGAAGAAGAAGAAGAAGAAGAAGAAGAAGAAGAAGAAGAAGAAGAAGAAGAAGAAGAAGAAGAAGAAGAAGAAGAAGAAGAAGAAGAAGAAGAAGAAGAAGAAGAAGAAGAAGAAGAAGAAGAAGAAGAAGAAGAAGAAGAAGAAGAAGAAGAAGAAGAAGAAGAAGAAGAAGAAGAAGAAGAAGAAGAAGAAGAAGAAGAAGAAGAAGAAGAAGAAGAAGAAGAAGAAGAAGAAGAAGAAGAAGAAGAAGAAGAAGAAGAAGAAGAAGAAGAAGAAGAAGAAGAAGAAGAAGAAGAAGAAGAAGAAGAAGAAGAAGAAGAAGAAGAAGAAGAAGAAGAAGAAGAAGAAGAAGAAGAAGAAGAAGAAGAAGAAGAAGAAGAAGAAGAAGAAGAAGAAGAAGAAGAAGAAGAAGAAGAAGAAGAAGAAGAAGAAGAAGAAGAAGAAGAAGAAGAAGAAGAAGAAGAAGAAGAAGAAGAAGAAGAAGAAGAAGAAGAAGAAGAAGAAGAAGAAGAAGAAGAAGAAGAAGAAGAAGAAGAAGAAGAAGAAGAAGAAGAAGAAGAAGAAGAAGAAGAAGAAGAAGAAGAAGAAGAAGAAGAAGAAGAAGAAGAAGAAGAAGAAGAAGAAGAAGAAGAAGAAGAAGAAGAAGAAGAAGAAGAAGAAGAAGAAGAAGAAGAAGAAGAAGAAGAAGAAGAAGAAGAAGAAGAAGAAGAAGAAGAAGAAGAAGAAGAAGAAGAAGAAGAAGAAGAAGAAGAAGAAGAAGAAGAAGAAGAAGAAGAAGAAGAAGAAGAAGAAGAAGAAGAAGAAGAAGAAGAAGAAGAAGAAGAAGAAGAAGAAGAAGAAGAAGAAGAAGAAGAAGAAGAAGAAGAAGAAGAAGAAGAAGAAGAAGAAGAAGAAGAAGAAGAAGAAGAAGAAGAAGAAGAAGAAGAAGAAGAAGAAGAAGAAGAAGAAGAAGAAGAAGAAGAAGAA